AACCATAAGTTTTTAACATGGTTTTTTGACTAAGCCAGAGTTGGTTGGGTTTAGACAAAAGGTTATGTCAACAAAGGACTGGCAGACCACATTATAGCTCAGTGTGATGTGACCTAGGGCTGTGCAAAAATGTTTGAAATCTGAAATACTTTGAATTTTAAAATGCTTTGCTTTGAGCATAGGGGTGTTCTGACTCCTTGAAGCCCTTCCAGAATGATTGGGAAAACCTGCTTCAACTTGAAGCAGTTGTTTCCGACTTGAATGAGAGTGTCCCAACCTCAAAACATTTCCACTTTGGGATTTTTGCATATTCCTAGCATGAACCCAGCTATGTTTTTAGATTTTTAGATTAGATTTTTCCTCTGGAGCTCTTGCCTCTTTAAAGCACACGTGCGCATGTATGCAATATATATTTACAGCTTCACATTTTTTGACCCCCTGTTATCTGATTCTTTTCTGCTGAAGGGAGAGGAATTAACAGCAGAAGCCGTCTTAAAACCAAGCAAATATTTGATGCTCACTGATATTGTGGTTGCTCAGATCAAGAGATTTAACTCTGACTTTGTTAGCTCCTCCATGAACTGCTAGAAACACAACCTGTTTCTTTTTCTCTTTGCTGAAACCTAATGAGAAGAAGGTGTTCTTGTTTTGCAATGCATGGGTAAACAAGTCAACCCACCGGTGGTTTCCAAACATCCTCTTCCTTAATGCTTCCCATTTTTCTTGGAACATACTGGTTAATTTAACTCTATTCCTCATTTTTTAGAGATTGTTTCTTTTTTTTTTGAGGTCTCCAAGTGTTTCAGTTCTCCATCCCAGTAGAACAATTTTTTTGGGGGGGGGCTGCCCCTTAGCTAAATTTTGCAACCTTATAATTTTTGTTGATTATTATTTAATCTAGGGATAAGCAACATAATGCCCACAAACATCATTGTATCCCCCAGCTCTCTACCTTGGTACCCACCAAAGTTCTCTGTCCCAACTGAGATGGTGATGATGATACGATCTAGCATGGTGCAAAAGCAAGCAGTGATCTAGTGATGCTTTTGGGTCCCACTGTGATCTGATGGGTAGCACAGAGCATCCTGAGATGTAGGTGTGGGTGGGACTTTTTGATTTGGGATTGGCTATGCCTAACCTGGCAGCTATTTTGTGAGTAGATCTGGTGCATGCTGTCAAAATTCTTGATGCATCTCTGGTACAGCAAGGTTATTTACCCCAGCTTAGTTGATCGTTTTAAGAAAAATCTGTCTCTGTGCCAGCTATCACTGAAGGAAGCTTTGCTTTTGCTTGGAGATATCAAGGCCCTAATTTACAGTCTCTAAGGGCCTTTCTCATGCTATATCCTCTTGCATCACAGTTGTCAGGACACTCAGCCATTGTGATTCAGAGGCCATATTGCCTGGACCTTCCGGGAACTGAGTAACAGTATAGCTATCCTCTTGAATGTGGCCTTAATTACAGTCCTTTAACTTGAGAGGTGGGATATGGAAAGGATATGACAGAAGGGCCATGGCAGATTGTGTAATAATTGGGTCAGGAGCTTGTTCTGCTGCTAAAGTGACTCTTGGAGAAGCTGAGTAGGTGCCAAAGGAAGGCTACACTCTGATGCAATGGCCTATCATAGTCATTCAACTTAAAAGCTTCTATTAGGGTCAACAAGGACTCAAAGGTGCTTAAAAACCCAGCTAATCTTCCTCTTCTCCAGTCTCTGTAAATAGAGTGAATCTTGAACTGTAATCAGTATAAACTATATTGTGCAAAACCCACTTAAAGGCCAGTTTTTGTGATGATTTGGTTTGCGCTGTTGGGCATGATAGATAACCCTAAGTTGAACTTTTCTTAAATGTTGGTTTGCTTTGTTTGAATTGAGCTTTATTTTTGGGCCGGTAGAAGTGGTTCCAGGATCCAACCATGGCTTTTACACTGGGGGGATTCTGGCAGTTGAAATACTGTGTCTCAAGTTGAGAAAGGACGCAATATTTCGATGTTTCAAAATTTTTCCTCTTAGGAATACCTCAGTAATGCATAGCTTGGTGGTATATTATGTCTTTTCAGTTTGTCCAAGATTCCTGTTGGCAGATTCCCTGTCCACATTTAGGTCAACTTCCTCAGCAAACTTTGAAGTATGCACACTCACTGGTTTTGAGCCAGAAATTTTGCTGACACAAGCAAAGTGATCAAAATTCTTTGAACATCCAGTTAACATTTTTCATGTATGTTTAACCTCTTTTATGTCTGTTAATTATGTTACTAATGAGAGCAACAGTGTAATAAGAATCACAGTACCGAAGAAACATGCATGCAAAATGATTTCACACTTTTAGCACATAAGAACGATATTAAGCCAATCTCACAACATTGTAATTGTCAGAACCTAATGTTTGTATTTTGTCCAATTTCCAACACCCTTTTATATGTTTTCATGACTAAACATAAATCATATGCCTATTTAACATTTTTAATAGTAGATAATTCTAAATTATTTTCTGAGGGGAAATTAATGGTTAAATTAAATTGTTGTTAAATATGAAAAATAAACGCTCATACTTCATACCTGAAGCCTCACATACTTACCTTTCTCCTAGATTATACAGGGGACCAACGAATTTATCATGGAAAGGAGAATGTGGATTCCAGGCACAGTCGTGGAAGAGGAGGGGACACAACTCGGTTCCATACCATCAACATGGCACAGCCGGTTCGATTTAGTAGTAAGTTGCAGACTTGGAAACAAGAATCAGATGTTGAGGGCATATAGAATAGCCTTGAAGGACAGGAAGAAGAGCTGTTACCAAGACAGTGGTCAGATAAGAGAGGCTTGAGCCTGGGCCAAGAAATAACATGAGAAAACATCTCAGGAAAGCCCCTCCCTAGTTCACGCAAAGATAAAATGAGGCAGGGGGAAGCACATTCAGACTTGCAAGATTCTGTTACTACAGCTGTTAGAATAAAAGTAGTCCTGACCTATACAGTGTTGGTTTCTTAGTCTGGTCTACCTTGTTGGACTGACTCTAAATCTCCTCATTATCAATTTGGACCTTTGGTCTAGGCAATGGATGGGCCACTTTTTGGTGATTGAAACTACCCTACGTTTGGATTGAGTAGGAGGTACAAAGGGCTGATGTAAAAGTAGGGAAAGCTGTAACAGGTATGTATGTATGTACATGCAGTCCTCGTTTAGCGACTACCTCATTTACTGACCATTTGCAGTTACGACAGTGATGCAAAATTAATTCTATGACCAATTGAAGTTGTCGGTCTCAATTGTGGTTGCTAAACAAGGACTACCTGTATGTATGTATGCATTCATTCATTCATTCCATTTATATAGCCGCCCATTTCAAATACATGACTTTGGGTGGCTCACAGCAATTAAGAAAACACACACACACACATGAATCATGTCTAAAAATGATATAAAAGAGCCATATAACAACACAGTCAGTAGCAGAGGAATAACAAGAACTGCGAACAACAATCAGCATAGCCATTGTACAGGCTCTACCACACCCAACTCTTTAACATCTTAGGAAAGGCCAGTAGGGTTAGGGCCAATCTGATCTCTGGGGAGATGATGTTCCAAAGATACCCAGAGGCCCAGAGGTGGTGATTCTTGGCTGTTTTCAAGCTTGCACTACAATTTTGAGTTTGTCTTGCCTCCAAATAGGAAGAAGCTGCCTCTTAAGCTTTGATTGTTGCAATCAGAGGCTATACAAAAGATACTTTGGGGATCTGGGGCAAATGTGGCATGGAGCTTATGCCTGGTCAAGACTGAGAAATCTCAACTTTACTTACTTTGTACTTACATTAAATGAAACCTCAGAAGGAAGCAATTCCAATTAACTTCCCTTAGGAAAATAATAGCACAGCGAACTGTTCTTGCAGACAGTTTCTTAATGCTCAGATAAATCCCGTTTTTATAGCGTAAAGCTAATGCAATTTGGCCTGTCTCCAGAAGATATCGTAAACCATTTTCTTCCTTGCTCATAAAATAAGCACAAAATATCCTCAAATGAGAACATCCACCTCAATCTGATTACTAGAGACAGAATAATAGGTAGAAGGAAAGGATAATGCAATCATGAATATAGAAGCTGCTCTGGATTATTAGTGGAGATTCAACCTCAAGGCCAAAGTTAAAAATCCATTTGGATGCGTGGGTAGTTGCTTGGAAAAAACCTTGCATTTTTTTTTTAAAATAGAAACACAGGAGAGTAGTTTCCATTGAATCAAACCATTGATCCATCTGTCCAGTTCAATACTGACTGTGCTGAGTGTCAGCAGCTCTCTTGATTGCTATAACGTCGTGTTCCAGGCAGTCGGGCCTCTCTGGAGATGCCTGCAATTAAACCAGCAATAGTGGTGTATGAGAATGAAAGGTGGGTTTTGATTTGCCAGGAGAGATTAGAGGTTGCTCGAAGATTGGCAACCCTATCTCCCAGCGCCCCTGCCAGCCATATTTCCACGTAGAATCTGCACGTTTTTCATTTCGGGGCTAGAGCTTTTCATTCCAGACAGGATCGTTTTTGGAATGTAGGCAGTTTTAGAATGATGCTCCTCCTGCATTGTGTCCAGGTCAGGTCCTGGCTCTCTTCTTTGCTAGATTTGAGCTGAGCCTCCTGTCTTTAGGAGTAACTAAAACATGCTTTTTTGTGTTGAGGTCCTAACTGGGTGGGAAATTGTTTTCCCTTCTCTCTTTCATGTTTCCTAGGGAAGTGCCCATCAGGGTGGCACCACTACGAGGGTACTGCCAGTTGCTACAGGGTGTACTTAAACGGAGAGAATTACTGGGATGCTGTGCAAACATGTCAGAAGGTGAATGGTTCCCTGGCCACCTTTACCACCGACCAAGAGCTGAAATTCATCCTGCAGCAAGAGTGGGACTCTGAAGAGAAGGCCTTTGGGAGGAAAGATCAACGCCGGTGAGTTGCACGGAATGGCAGCACTTCATTATGAAACAAAACCACTTCTTCTTTTGGATTTCGGATGGTATGTTTTCTTCCTTGTAGTAAGCTGCAAACTGAACAATAGGAAACCTTGAGGTTTGCTTCCAAAACTGTTGTTGTCATTGCCTGCATCCTGTTTTTCAACATCAAACCTTTCACATGTTTAATGTTGACCCACCACCACCCCTTGAACAGGGTTTTAGGACTGAGTGGTAGGTCAAAGACATTTACCCCTCTGTTACACCAAGAAGGGGGGGTTGGGTATGTGCCCTGGCACACACTGTTGCTTCGCTGTTGACTCTGGAAGCTTTGAAAGCTCAGAAACTTCGTAGGTCAGCAATGTGAGGTTTGGCCTTTGCCCGCATGTATCTCAGAGATCACTTCCCTTTTTAATTTGTATTCTGTTCAGAGTTCACCCTAGAATATTTGAAAGACCTTCCTTTGACAGCAAAGCTCCTTTAACATAGTAGAATCATCCTGCTAACCCTGTGGTGGAAGAGCCGTTTTGTCCAAGTATCTTATCTCACATTGCACGTTCCCCCATCTGTTGACCACGTTCTCTGTTTCCTTGTTATGTTTGATCAACATGATACAAAAAAAGTCTTGATGAAAACATTGTTCATCATCCTTGCTGAATAAAGCAAAGGAGAACACCAATTTGTGGCATTGTATTTGTTTGCAACAATGCCTTTTGGCCTTCAAAGGTCCCACTGAGACGATAGAGGAGTTTGTCGGCAAATTTGTCCTGGGGAAGTTGGTGCTTCGTGATCGACCAGGCCCACCACCATGGCAGCCTTCTTGTCAAAATACTTAATCTTCTGAATACTCAAAAGGAGATCCCCGCTTTTCAGCTCAGCAGTTCCTCATTTTATTAATTTTATTAACCATGTTGCCTGTTTGGGGTATGCAAAATATTTAGATCTGAACTGGTTCAAATTTGAAACGCCATACCCTATTTGAGAAACAGTTGTTTTAGAGTGTACAATGGGATGTTCTGACCTCAAAACAGGGTGCTTCAAGTTTGAGGTAGTTCTTATCAAAATGTTTTGCACACTGTTGTGGCCTAACCTTTTTTCAAGTTTTGCTCACCTGCACTACCAAAATAACCGTGTTACAGTCTACTTCTTGAATTCCCTCTTTGGTAGATTTGGTTGGAAGAAACAAAATGCTGGATTCTGAGTGTTAAATATAAGATTTATTTATTTTTTTAGCACTTTAGCATTCTTAATAGGTATTAATGGTTCACTAGGATTGGCAGCATTGATGAAAATTGCTTGCCAGCCTCCGGTTTTAAATAATGAACCCTTGAGGCTTTCATTAACTGCTTATTACATGAAGGACAAATTTTGAACCTCAGTCTCTGAAGATTCTCATGTTATTTTTGTGTATTAACTTTCCAATGCAATCTTATCCTCATTGAAGTTTTACAACCTGTCTTTTCCCCCCTAAATTTCCAATGGAAGGTTCTGGGTTGGATATCAGTTTGTCATCACCAACCGAAATAATTCTCTTGAAGGCCACTGGGAGGTCGCTTATAAAGGTAAGTTTCCCAAAGAAGGCTAAATCTTTGGGCTTCTTAGCTAAAATTCAAACCTGATCAAACTCCTTGTTCAGCAGCTTGAATACACTTTATCTCCCCCCAATGCATTTAATAATTTCCTGCTTTTGTTACATAAAACATTCTAGAAGGGCTGGAATGCACACCCAAGGTTTTCAGGGCAAAATTCAAGCTGTAAACATTAGGGGAAATGAGTTACAAAAATGTCCAGACTAGGAAAATGCGCATAAGAATATTTTACCCACTAGGAGAAAAGCCAAACTTCCTAATCATTCTATGGCCAATATTTTTCGCTGAGTTTGCAGAGCTGATGCAGAAACCAAATGCAAACTAAGTAATGTATCAATGAAGAAAATGAGAAGTTGAATCAAAGCTGCACGGATCGATCCTTTGCATTTCTTAGAAAGGCTTTTTAATATTTTCCAGCATATGGTAAAGCGGATTGCACGGCACAATGTAACCCACCCTCTTCCTCTGTCTTGTCGTTTCAGGCTCATCGGAAGTATTTTTGCCCCCTAACCCTACATTTAGTACATCTCTGTCTGAAAATGAAAACATCCTTTGTGCCCAGTTTCAGTGCTCCCATTTCCCAATTCTCCGGCACCATGGTTTTCACAGCTGGTATGCTGAAAACTGTTACGAAAAATCATCCTTCCTCTGCAAGAGAAGTAAGCGATCCATTCTCCATTTCTAAACGGGTTGGATAAACTTGGAACATGTTGGAAGAGAGTTGGCCAAAATAAAGATTTTTTTTTCCCCCTGTTTCAGGCCAGACCTGTGTGGATATTAAGGATAATATTGTCGACGAAGGCTACAATTTCACGCCTAAAGGGGATGACCCCTGCTTAAGTTGCACATGTCACAACGGTGAGCCAGAGATGTGCGTGGCAGCACTGTGTGAGCGGCCCCAGGGCTGTCAGCATTATCTCAAGGACCCCAAGGAGTGCTGCAAATTTACCTGTTCAGATCCTGGTAGGTGTTTCTCCTGGCAAGCAGCAAATTAAATTGATTTCTCCTCTTCGGTCTCCCTCCTCCCTCTTGATTGTGTTTCTCAGATAAATCTTTTTTTCCCCCTCTTTCATTTATTTACATACAAATCTATACTTCTAGTGCTTATGCCTAGAAGTGTGCAAAATATTTTGAATTTGAAATGTTTCAGGGCTGAAACTCTCCATGTGGAGTTCAAATCTGTTGTTTCACACTGGAGTCGAGTTGTCCCAGCCAGTCTGGATGTGTCTCAAGAGCAATACTGCAGTCTTGAGTTCCAAACAGGAGTGGTTCAAGCAACCTGTTTCAAATTCAGTACAACTGTTAATTTCCAAACTTCCTCTGTGACCTGCCAAACTTTTAAGATTTGTTTTGAGATCAGTGGCCTTAGAGCAGATGGGAATGTATTAATTTAAATGTCTGATTTTGCCCGTTGCAATGGCAACAGTACGTTGCCTTCTTTTGGGACTGAAATACTGTCCTCTTGAGACCCCATTCCTAAGATACAGGGACCTTTATTTTCTTCTGCTGAGGCATACCCCAACAGTGTGTGATTTCTCTTAACAAATTATTTATTTAAAAGATTTGTATGTCCGCCATCTTAGAACACAACCCTGGGTGGCTCACCACCACAATAAAACCAACAATAATAAAAACCATAAAGCAAGAAAACTGGTGCCTTGGATGCTTCCAACCAAACCATTCCCAGGCTCCCATCTCATCGTATCCCAGTGGGGAGAGAGTCCATCTAAATGTGCTTCAGGGTATTGAGAAGATACTTATGCATAGTAGATGGTCTTGAAGAAAATATGCAACAGCTGTTAGTAAAACATGAGCTCAGTCTGGGAAAACATGAAAGCATGACTCATAATTGCCCCACTTTGACTCTCTCTGGTGAAGAGAGAGAGAAGGGGAAATGGCATCAGGCTTTCAAGATTCTACTATCTCAACTGAGTTCTAGCATTTCTTCTGAAGTCTGCGTCTTGACCTGGCCTGCCTCAAAGGTCTGGTGCATTATGACTTTTGGAAACTCTTGCTAGGTACCCTATACATCCTCATGCCCAAATGTCCAAATGTGGATGTTGCCAACAAAACCAGTTCTGTTGGTATTATAATGATCTTTTTTTTAGAAATACCTTCCCTCTCCAATTGGTTCAGAAGGGTGAAACTGGAGAGGTTTTGTCCTCTTATCACGGGGGCCGTTCTCTTTCCCTCTTGCAGACGGCAACAGTTTATTTGACTCCATGGCCAGTGGGATGCGTCTCATCGTCAGTTGCGTCTCTTCTTTCCTCATTTTGTCTCTCCTGCTCTTCATGGTCCATCGGCTGCGACAGAGACGCCGGGAGCGCATCGAGTCCTTGATTGGAGCAAACTGTAAGTGTGCCTCACCTTTTCTGAAGGTCACTGGAAAGTTTGGGTGTCTAGAAGGTGAGGGTTTCCATGACTTGCCTCTGTAGCCTTTCAGAAGTTGGAATTGGGCTGCTGTAGCCAGGAACAAGTTGCTTGTTGGATGTTGGAACAACATTCCAACAAAAGTAGGTGTCTAAATAATCTTTCTAAAAGGGTGGCCTGCAGAAGACCCCCCCCCCGCCTCTGAACACCGGTGCTCTATTTTGCAACTTTTTAGTAGGAGTCAGATGCATACATTTCACCTTGCAGATGTTAAAGGCCCTTATTTCACCTCTTGAAATCTCTGCACTCCCTCTTCAAATGGGGGTTGGCTTTGTTCGCTTGTAGAGTGCAGCCCTTGGCGTGCCACGCAAAGCCAGAGGTGGTTCTCTGTTTGAGCCATTTTGGTGTGGCGGTGAAGGGCCTGGACTAGAAACCAGGAGACTCTGAGTTCTAGTCCTCCCTTTGATATGAAAGTGTGAGAATGACCTTGGGAGATGGGAGGAAGAGCCACAGCCTAGAGCTTCCAACCAAACCATTTGGGTCTGTTGAACGAAATCTGAGTCCAGAGGAAGGAATGAGAGTGGAGAAAGCCTCTCAGAAGGGACCGTCCCTAGTTCTCTGGGAAGTAAAGGCAGAGTAATGGGGAAAGTTTTGAGGGCTGAAGAGAAAAAGCTCCACTATTCCACTTAAAACTGGATGCTTTGCAGAATGCATGAAAAGAAGTTGTACTGATAATGCTTGATGGGTCTTGTATATCCCCCTCCTGTGCCTCTTTTGCAGTGCACCACTTTAACTTGGGGCGCAGGATGCCTGGGTTTGATTATGGTCCAGATGGCTTTGGAACGGGACTCACTCCTCTGCATCTTTCTGATGATGGAGAAGGTGGAGCATTTCACTTCCATGACCCACCTCCACCCTACACAGCTTACAAATACCCAGATATTCAACATCCAGATGACCCACCACCACCTTATGAAGCTTCCATCAACCCGGACAGCATCCTTTGTTCTCCTCCAGGTATTGTTGTCTGCTTTGAATTCTTGCCCAACTCCATCTTGTTGACATTGACCTCAGTGTTTCCTACTCAGCATTCAGTAAAGAATTAATTTTTTTTTTTAATAAAATTTTTTATTTTTTACAACAAACACAAAACATACATAAACAAAC